CGGGCGGGGTGGCTCACGCCTGTAATCCTAGCACTCTGGGAGGCCCAGGCTGGAGGATCACTCAAGGTCAGGAGTTCCAGACCAGCCTGAGCAAGCGTGAGACCCCCGTCTCTACTGAAAATATAAAGAAATTAATTGGCCAACTAAAAATATATAGAAAAATTAGTGGGGCATGGTGGCGCACACCTGTAGTCCCAGCTACTCGGGAGGCTGAGGCAGAAGGATTGCTTGAGCCCAGGAGTTTGAGGTTGCTGTGAGCTCGGCTGACGCCACGGCACTCTAGCCCTGGGCAACAGAGTGAGACTCTCTCTCAGAAAAAAAAAACAAACAAAAGAGTCCTTGTTGTCATTATTATGATTTCGAGCCCTGTCGCAGTGATGTTTACTACCCTCTCTCAGGCTGCAGGTTCCACGGTTCCCGAGGGCTGGTCAGAGGAGGAAGTCCTTCCCAGTCTGGGGCTCCACCAGGGGCCGTGGGGCACATTGGGCGTGCACCGGTGTGACTGTGGAGCCTGGACAGCCTCAGCCTCCTAGCGTCAGAACTTCTGATTTTTCAGGAAAATCCAGGAATGCGGATTTTTGGTTAAATCTCCCACATTTGAAGCATTGGCTCAACGTCACACAACGCTACAGGGACCCAACAAAAAGAGATAGCAGCAAGATAACCCGACTTGTCCCAGTTCGTAGCGTAGCTGAGATTCCGACGTGAGTCCTCCCAAAGCCGCGCCTCTTTCTGCTTAACCCAGGCCCACCCCTTCCCCTCACGACCCCCGCACCGCTCGCCTCTTAGGGAGCCCGTCGGTGCCTCTCCCTGCTCTTCCCTCCAGGCGGGCCGCGGATTGGGACAACGCCCAGCTCCCCTTCCATCCGCCACGCCCTTCCCAGCAGGACCTGGACTGCGTGCACAGACGCGGTCGCCTCCTCCGGGCCACACTGAGCCTCGACCCGCCTGGGGCGCGGGCCCGGAGGACTGGTCGGTGCGCGGTCTGGGCGGGCCGACCGGGAGATCGCGGCCCGGGGAGGCGCGGGCAGGGCGGGCCGGGCGGCCGGGCGGGCCGGCGGGCGGTCTCTCCCGGCCTCTCCGCGCCCGCCCCAGGCTCTCCGGCTGAAACGAGCGCTGTTCGCGCCGCCCCTGACCCGCCGCCCTGGCCATTGTTTTTGTTCGCCCGGTCGCGGTGGGAGGCGAGGAACGCGGGGCCCTGTGGCCTGGCTGCCCCCCAGGCCTTTGACCCTGGGACACCCGGGCGGCCGCGCCTCCGGGCGGGACGAGAGGACCGGCGGCCGTGGCCATGGGCTCGCGCGGCTCCCGCGCCGCGTCATCCCCGACGTGGACAGCATCCGGCGGGAGACGGGCTGTGAGTGCGCCGGCGCGGGGGCGGGGCGCGGCGACCGCAGTGCCGGCGCCGGGGCCGCAAGAGGTTCAACGCCGCGCGGGTCCGGAGCAGGGCTGGATCGAGGGGGTCCGGGATCCTGGAGCTGGGAGACCAAGACCCAAGAGTCGGGGACCGCAGGGCTAGGGCGCGTTCACCTGGGGCTTGAGGACTGGGGCCCAGATCAGTCCAGGAACCCGGTGCCCTCGAGTCCGATCGAGCCTGAAGGCAGAGTTGACGGCGAGGGGAGGGTTGACCTTGGTCCCTCGTTTCCGGAGGGAAGCGCTAGGACGCTTGCCAGCCTCCGGTCTCGAACTTGGCGCTTGCGGGTCGCACATCACCCCCGCTCCAGCCCCGCCTCCCCCGGGTCCCAGGGCGAACGTTCCTCCAGCAAACCTCCTCCCCATCTGTCCCCCCGGGTCTCCCGGGCCGTGGCGGAGCGGGTTCCAGAGCGCGCATCTTGTCCACCCTTGCGCCCTCCCCCCGCGTCTCGCAGGCCTGTCTGCTCCGCCTGTACCACCGGTTCCGGGCACTGGACAGGAACAAGAAGGGCTACCTGAGGTGAGCGGAGTCTTGCCTCTGTCCCTCAGAGCCCCATTTCCCTGTTTGACCCCCGCCTCGGCTGCCATCTTTGCCCTACCCCCTTTGAACTTGACTTTGCAGCCGCATGGATCTCCAGCAGATTGGGGCCGCTGGCCGTGAACCCCCTGGGAGACCGCATTATAGACAGCTTCTTCCCGACGGGTGAGGTCCTGATGTGATGTGCCGGGGAGGGGGGGGCAGCGGAAGCGGAAAAACTGCCAGCAGGTGAGTGGGAGGGAAGGTTAGAGACCGAGGCAGAGGGATGGCTAAGGTGACCGCCGCCTCCCTCTGTTCCGTGCTCCTAGGAGTCTGCGTGTGGATTTCTCAGGCTTTGTCAGGGTCCTGGCTCATTTTCGACCTATAGAAGAGGAGGACACAGGGATGCGAGACCCCAAGCAACCTGAACCCCTCAACAGCAGAATGAACAAACTTCGCTGTGAGTTTGCGGAGACCCGCCCCAGTGAGACGCGAGGTTTACCCACACCAGGGAGAGGCCCAGGAATCTCCCACTCCCTTCATGAGCCTCGTGACAACCACCGCACTCCTCCGGGGTGACCTTCTCCTGGAAGAGAACCAGGGAAGACCCACCTGCTTTCCCCCCTCCGCTCTCTTCCCAGTTGCATTTCAGCTCTATGACCTGGATCGAGATGGGAAGATCTCCAGCAGGAGATGCTACAGGTTGGACGAACTGCACGCGCAGGAGACGTGACGTTTGAGGGGTGGGAGGGTGGTGGATGGGGGATGCAGATGGTCAGGGTGTGGGATGGAATGGAATGGGTGGGTTGGAGCGTGGCTTAGTTGGGAGGTGATGTGGGTAGCAGTTGGGCATGAGGTCGGGAATAGATGAGGGATTCTCAGCTGGGGTCATCGTGCCCTGACTGAAGATTTGGCAATATCTGGAGAACACTTTTCCTCGTCACACCTGGTGAGAGAGTGTGCTATTGATATCTAGGGTGGAGGCAGGAATGTCACTATGCATTGTATAAGACATAGGACAGCCTCCCACAACAAGGCGTTATCTGGCCCCAAGTGTCGATAGTGCCGAGATAGAGACACTCTGGAGAGGTGATGAAGTGGAATTGGGGGGGAGGCTGGACAGAGTTGGGTTATAAGCTGGGCGGTGAGTTGGGCATGTTGCTGAGGGAGTGTGGACAGATGGCAAGATAGACGGTGAGGCAGTGGAAATTATTGGAGGATATGGGGGAAATGATTGGAATGGGGTGAAACGTGGATGAAGGATGATTATGAAATTGGTAGTAGCTGTTCGGTGAGGTGAGCAAGGTTTTGAGGATGGGAGAGTCACCGTTGTGTCCCCTCTTTATGGTTGCCTCTTCCCTCACCTCCCAGGTTCTCCGGCTGATGGTTGGGGTACAGGTGACAGAGGAGCAGCTGGAGAGCATCACTGACCGCACGTGCAGGAGGCCGACGAAGATGGGACGGGGCTGTGTCCTTCCTGGAGTTCGCCAAGGTCAGGATGTCCTAGGACAGGGAGGTTGAGATCAGGAGTCCCTGGGAGCAGATGAACATGGGG